TTGATTCATTCTTTATTCCTGTGGTAATTTTTAAATTAATTCTTATTTTTTATTAATTTTTTATTATTCAGCTTATATTTTCTTTTGTTTAGCTACAGCATGGTTTCCTCTCTTTTTCCTGTTCCGTAGCCTGAGGCGTGACTGATGGGATCAGAATTGGGAGGGAAGAAATGAGCTGTGTGCCATGTAAGGCAGAATAGCAGCTCCTTAGGGGGTCTTCACAGTTTGAGCTGTTCCTGTGCCACTGGACAGGTCCTGTGGTGCCAGACCCCCAACTCAGCTCTGCCTTGGCACTTGCTCTGCCATGCTCAGCTCTGAACAGTTCTTTAGGACACCCTCTAAAATGCATCAGATTTTTTTAAAAGACTTGTTTTCCCAAGGGACTGATCAAGTAAATCTTTTGATTGATGCTTCAACTTTTTTTTTTGTTTTTTTGGTTTTTTTTTACTTAAAATGTTTCCATAAGAACATGATTGTCTGGGAAGGTAGGAAGTGCTAGAATCTGTCTTTCTTGAATCTCCTTATGCCAGGCAGCAGACAGATACGAAGATAGGACTGTAAAGAGATTGATGGAAAGGTTTTTTCTGTGTTTTTAATTCCATCGCAGGCTTATGAAAACAGGATCTCTCACTGATCACTCCTCTGGGGACATTTTGAAAGGACAGGAGGCAAAATCTCTGTGTTACATACCAGGATATTTAACTGGGACCACAAAATACACTTCTTGTTAAGAAATCATATAATATGTATTCTTTATACAAAGAAACTGACAGATTATACACATTAAAAATCAAGACTTTTAGGGCAGTTATGACCTTGGTTGGAGTGCATATGGGAAAAATACTAAAATCTGTAAGGAGTAACTGGGTGAATTAATTTGTCACAGAATCCAGCAATGTCATAAAGAATTACTGACAAAAAAAAAATTAAAAAAAAATCAGAAGAATATCCTTGGTTGGCTGTTTAATGCTGTTTATTACATGTTTCCTTCTGTAAAAAAAAGCAAGAGATCTCTGCATAAACATTGTCTTGGCTTATGGACAGAAGCATGAGAATGGGTCTGTGCCTGATATCTTCACACTGGAGAAGAAAAAATATTACTTAAAAAATATGTCCAGGATAAAGAAAGACATTTTCCCCAGGAAAACAGGTATTGTTGAGCTGTACTTTAAACTTTTCCTAGAGCTCTGTCTCAGTGAAGTTAAATACACAGATATCTTGTTTATTGTGTGGGACAAATAACCAGAGCAATAACAGAGCTTTTCCTAAGTCATTGGTCCTATTCTGCACAGTTTCCTTAGCACCATCATTAAACTACTGATACACCCTGAATTTTATTAAAAAATAAGGAACAGATTATTTAAAATACTTTGCAATTACTATATTTTGAAAATATTTTAAGAATTATAAAATATCTGTGATCTGAGACCACCAGAACTTACTATATTGTAAGTGCTCGTAGTGACTGCAATGAATTTTTTCATATGTTCTTTTTTAACAGAATGGGGTTTTTTTAACCAAATAATTACTTTTATCAATTGAAAAAAACCTTAATACCTAAAAATCCTCCAATTTTTTAGGAAAATATCTGCTGAAAGCAAACAAAATAAAATTACATTTTATCAACATCTTTGATATTTATACTGGATAGAGATCTTTCTTTGAATACCATCCTGAATTATCTCACTGAAAAATAATTGCATCTATTGATTCTTGGCTAAGGAAAAGCTAATGGACCCATCCTGAAATCAATGATCATATTCTAAAATACAACATTTATATTAACATTACAAGGGAGACAAATCTAATACACATAAATAATAAAAAGGAAATTGCAGAATACAGTAAGGGAATAAGAATAAGAAACTCAGAAAAGTTTCTGTTCTCCCTCTGTTCTCCTACATCTTCTGAACACCTTGCTGGGTGCAAGGAGCTGCACTGGTTTTGGCCAGCCAATGCACAGCTCCAACCATCTCTTCCAACAAAAGAATAAATCATTCATTTTGATCCGATGAAAAGGGAGGAACAAAAACCTCCAAAAATCCAAGCACAACAAAATCCAGGGTGAAGGGCAGATCCGTAAGAGTAAAAAAGGAAATTTACTTTTTTTAATTGATCCAGACCTTAATAAAGGCAAAAAATCAGGTCAGGCTGTGTTGTTAAGCAAATTTGTTTCAGAAGGATATACAAAGAAAAGTACTCTGATAGTGCTAAGATAGGACAAATTTGGAAGAAAATTTATCTCAGAATATGAAAAGTTCTTATACTAGGGCTTTAATGTTCTCTCTCTTGTCTCTGTTTTCAATGAAATATATACATATATATATATACATATATATATATATATATATATATATGCATAAACACTAATGTAAAGTTCTAGAGAATGTATTTGATGTGTAAGGAGCTCACTTCTCTCTCAGGATGACCCTTGCTGATGTCTTTGCCTAAACAAGTTCGCTGCTCAGTGACCCTCAAAAAGCAAGGAGAAAGAGAGGGAAACCCAGAAATCTCTGTTCCTCTTTAACATCCTTTTTACAGCAGCTCAGCTACTGAGTACTGAGCTACTTTTGAGTGATTTCCATTTACTGTTTCACTTAATGATTTCCTGAGTTCAAGGCCATTTCCACAGGGATTGGTAAAGGCTTTCTCCCTCCACCAGTACTATCAGCATTTAGTCTAGAAAAGGCAGACATTACAATTTCACCTATTCAGAAGTTAATTCAATGCCTCATTATTTAAAATTATATTTAAACAGGTCTCTCATCAGAGTAAGTCAGGTCACAGCCACAATATGCAAGTGTACCAGAGCACATAGGATGACAGGATACATTTTATCTCTGTCTTCATTAAAAAATCTAGTGCTTGAAGAATTAAAGTGATGTAATGCTTTATCTTACAAGTTCCCAGAGTAGAAGGAGACAGCTTATACTCAACCTTATGCCGGTGCCTTGCACTTAGCTCTCGCCCACTTCAGACTCCCAGCTAGTCTGTGCCAATACACCCTAAATTTGCTTTAGGTTAATGTTGAGCAACTAGCCACCATTAGTGTGTAAGCTAGCTTCTTACTGTCACATTTAAACAGGAGAGAGTTATGGAGTGTCTCTAGGCAACTAGCATTAGAGGTGCGTTCAGAGATACCTATGCCTGAGGAATGCCCTTCCCAGTTCCTTCTCTGCATGGGATTGTTGCTTTTAAAAGGGACACTGCTACAATAAGACCTGACCCTGATAAGGGTGTAAACCTAAAGCCAGCTGTACACCTTTTCATCTGTCCCACAGGTGACTCACATATTGGTAAAAGAAACAAGTTCTGAATGTAAATAGTAAACTGAATGTAAAAATAGTAAAACACAAAGGAAAGCAGAAGTCTAAGCTTATTTTTTCTGACATGCGCTATGAGTTACCTGCAAGAAATGAGATTTTATTCTAGGCTTAATACAACTATTAAAAAAAAAAAGTAATTTAATTTCTTGGTGAAACTTAATAGTAATATTGATTTCAAATGACAGAGAACATCTCCAGAATACTGCTGGCACTTTTGGCAATTCTAAAGATCTGCAGTTTATAGGACATGACAAATTGTCTAACAATTTTTGAAGTTATTCTTTGTATCCATTTTAAAAGTGATTTAAACTTTAAAATATTTACTTGGAAGTAGAAGAAATCTCTTTCACAGCAAAGTTATACTGAGTGAAAAATACAACTGCTTAGTATGACACCCTATGTTTCTACTACTTAAATTGTCCTTAAATTACATATGCAGGCTTGGGAAAAGTGTGAAAAATATTTGCTAACCAAAGCACTGAAAAATGTATTAACATTCAGGAAATGGCAGACCATTTCTTTCATGGTCATGTGGACAGAAACTTAATATTGAGTTAATTGACAACTGCAACTCAGCTTCCAGAACCTTCCTTAATAGGGAATAGGGAACCTTCCTCAATAACTATGAGCCAAACACATTTTTTTAATGTTCTTGGAGCTCCTGTTGTGTTGTAACAAAGGAAACTTTTCATGGTTTCATCACCAGATCAGTGAATGCCTTTGCAAAGCAGCAATATACAAGGATTAAAGGTTCAGCATATTTTCAATTTGTCGCTTTATTCTGATTCATTTTTTGTATAAAATGGATTGCACTGGCAAACTGAACCTCTTAAGAAACACACAGGCAGGAAATTAATATTTGCAGTTAAGTATATGCATGACGAGGTTCTCTGAGTCTTGTCATTTTAAGGTAATGTCTTCCTGGAAGGAGATGACCTCAGACATACATTTCTCCATCCAGCAGTCTGAGATCAGAGCTGCAGCAAATGCTTTGGACCTAGTCTAATGCACAGGATAGATTTATCTGCTGCAATCATACCAAATCTTTGCCATCCCTGCCCTATTGGCATCACCACATTACTTTCTGTTATTTCTGTCTGCACCATGTCTAAAGTGGATTTTACAATGTATATATTCTATAGAATAGAATATATTCTATTTCTTTTTTATTTGTTGTGCACGGTACATAATATATTTGTCATCACTGCAGTAACAGTAATATCATATTATACTGTATTATATGTATTTACTGTAAACATTTGTTAGGCTTTGCAACATAATTTTCAAAGATCTGGAAACAACTACAGGAAAGGAAAATACTTGCTGATTTCTTTCTTGATTAGATCAGCAGGTGTTTCCCAAATCTTCTGCACATGTTTTGTGCTGGTGTCTTTTCCAAACCAGCAGCATCATCCTCATTTTCTTGACTGGAACTAGCCGGGGATAATATTTTGAACTGCAATTAAGTTGCTTTTGAGCATCAGGTTGGGGGTGGGGGGAGTGTGGGGGAGGAATTTGCCAATTTGTTTATTTATTTAATCATTATTAATTATCAGTTAATCATTATTTTTTTATGTTTTCCCTTGCACTGATTTCTCAGTAGTTGTCTTGCTATTCTCTCCTATCAGAGACAGGAGGGGAGGGAATCTGTTAGAAAAAAAGTCTTACCTGACAAGATTTCCAGAGAGGGTCATGAAGTGAACAGTGAGGAGAGTGGAAAATCAGAAGTGAAGAGCATTCCTATTACAAATATTGATGTGTGTGTGTGTGTATGTTCACATATACTGCAATTGCAGGACTCTGTTCTTGTTGGGATGATGGAATTATAGTGAGCTGCCCCCCCTGACTGGAACACTGTAAAGGAATGATACAGAATGTCAGAAAGACAGGAAAGTATGATGAGGAGACAAAGTTCTTTTTATGTGACACTGCAGCTTAAGGTTTTGGAAATCTGCCTGGTGGTGGATGAGGAGCCAATGGATATTTTCCATGTTAGGATTAGGCATAGGTAGCAATATAGTGTGTGTCTACAGTAGAACACCTGACCATGGTGGTTCAGACTTTATACAGATCTCAGGTTTGGCGATTCTGGTCTTCATGGGTATCTTCAACCACCTTGGTATATGTTGGAGAGACATCACATCAGCACATAAACAATCCAGGAGGTTCCTGGACTGCTCTGATGATAATTTCCTCTGCCAAGTGGTAGGGAAGCCAGCAAGGACAGATGCTGTGTTGGACCACAAACTCACCAACAAGGAATGCATAAACAACAGAGGCAGCCTTGCTGCAGTGATGTGTGCTGAGTGAAGGAGGAGTTCCAGAATCCAGTAAGGTAGAAAGGTGATTAAACTAGTGGTGTGCCCTAAGGGACAGTCCTGGATCCAGTCCTGCTTAACATCTTCATAATGATTTGGATGATATCACAGATTATACTGTCAGTAAGTTTGCATCAGACACAAAACCAGAAAGAGTGGGAGAATTGCCAAAGGGTCATGCTGTCTTCCAGATGTGCATCAACAGGCTGAAGAAGTGGGAGGACAGGAACATCATAAAGTTCAGCAAGGGGAAATGTAATGTCTTGCATCTGGGGAGAAACAGCTCCAGGCACCAGTATCAGCTGGAGGCCACCCAGCTAGAAAGAAATTTAATTGGACGAGTTTCAAAGTCAAAAAATGGGTCATGAAGACAATGAAGGGCCTGAAGGATCTCTCCTATGAGACATCTGTGACTGTTTCACCTGGAGAAGAGAAGACTGAGGGGGGAGCTTTATTAAGGTATATAAATTCCTGGAGGGAGGGTAACTGGAAGATGGAGTCAGGATCCTTCTGATTGTCCCCAGTCATGGGACAAGAGGCAACAGACTTGAGCCAAAATGCATTAAGTTCCCTCTGAACATCAGGAAATATTTACTGACTGCAAGAGACATCCAAAAGCTCCAGATGGTCTTGGGCTACTTGATCCAGGTTGTCCTGCTTTTGTGAGTGGGTTGGACAAGACGAGCTCTGAAAGTCCCTTCCAATCTCAGCCATTCTGTGATTCTGTGATACTCAACAGAACTTTAAGCCTTTTTGATATGCTGGTGTATATTTAAAATTACTTGTTTATGTGACATGGGGTATGATTTTGCTTCTAAAGTTCTTAACTCTTTAGGTATGTAAGAATTTTTTCCTCTGGATTTTAACAGTGATGACAAAGATGGGTTCCAATCATTTGTTGAAAAAGGTGCTGAACTAGACAGATGTGAATTTATCCAAATTGGAGGACCTATGATGTCTGTAAACTTCTTATACATGTACTTAAGCTATCAAGAAAAAAATGGTAAGAAACAGTCTTTTCTGTTCTTCTAACAGTGAGTTAGACAGTTCTCTAATTTTGATGAAACACTTTTCTCTGAAATTCATATGAATACAGTGACTTTTGTGGTATTAAGTACAGCTTGATAAATCCTTTACATTTATTTAACCTAATGAATATTATTAAGTTATTATAGAAATAACTCCTTACTTATCAAATTTACCTGTAGGATTATCACTCTTTACAAGCCTCATCAAGAAAAATATATTGAAGGATTAAACAGTCCAAATGTGTGATGAACAGATGTTGTCCATCATAAAAAAAAGCCAGCCAGAAATTTGACTCAGAATAAAACTGCTGAATGCAGATCTAAAGATAATAGTGGTAGCTCTACATTTTGGCCAGTGGCTTGCATGCCTGCAGCTTGGGTTTACGCTGCATGTCATAACAATGCTAGCAATTATTAATTTGGCTGGTTTTGACAGCTGTAGCACTTGCAGAGGAGCAGAGAGACGGAAATAGGGCCAATATAGAAAAGCGCACTACAGCAAGGTTAAAGAAGTAAAGTAGTTACGAAATACCAGAGCTGGGGCTAAAACAAGGAGCTACATGGAAAAAATGTAATAGGAGAAAATTTTGAAAAAAAGTAACTCATGGCAGCTCAAAGCTAAAGCCCTAGTAAAAACATTAATTTATTTTCCATTTGTTCAAGCTGTATTTAGGTTATATATTGGATTAATATTCTTTACTGTGAGGGTGGTGAGGCACAGGCACAGGTTGCCCTCAATATCATATCAATATCAATAGACCTCAAATATCATCTATTCTAACCATCCCTGCCATGGGCAGGAGCACTTCCCACTAGATCCCATCCAGCCTGGCCTTGAACTCTTCCAGGACAGGGGCATCCACAGCAGGGATGGTTAGAATAGATGATATTTGAGGTCTATTACAACCCCTTAGTATTCTATGATCCTATGATAGGCACAACTTCTTTGGTTGCCTTGCAATAAAATTTGGGAGGTGAATATTGACAGCCTGCAATGAAGCCATATTTTGATTTATTTTTATACTTCCTGCATGTTCTTTAGTGCTTTGCTGCTAAATCTTAGAGCAGGAATGTTGAATGAGGAAGAGATTTTTCTCATAATTAACCCTGTCAAAAATAATTTTCTTATATTTTAGTGACTCCTTTGAATGTTATATATTATTAGAGATCTAGAACACCTAAATTTGTTCATTATCTGATAACTGAGTTTCATACATTGAAACTTTCAGGATGTCCTCTTACTTTTAGTTTCTTTAAGAATAGTAATGTGACAAAAGCCCAAGGCTAGACTGGATGGCACTCTGAGCAATCTGGTCTATGAAAGGTGTTTCTATCCATGGCATGACAATTGGAATGACGTGATGTTTAAGGTCTCTTCCAACCCAAACCCAACTGAATTCCATGATACCCTGTTTAATGACATGCTGGCCAAGGAATCTCAGCAGTCTCTGATGCCCTGCTTCTGTCCTTACCTTTGCTTCAGTGATTGTTTTTGTGTGCAAACTACTACCTCTTTATTGTTACTATCTGAAGTCTGATAGTAAAACATTGAAAAAATTATTTTAGCAAGGTTTTTTATGCAATTATTTTTCTACTTCATACTTTTCCCATGTCTGAATCTAGAGAACAGTAGCTTTTCATGTCTTCTAATATTCAATTATAAGACTTTCTATCATATGCTCAAGAGCCTAAGTGCTAATTCTTGCTGGTACCATTCAGAATATTATGTTCTTTTTCTTAACTGGATTTTTAACAATAATTAATAGAAATACCATAAAAGCTTATATTCCTAAATTTCCTTTGTCTGTTGTAAGATCCATGAGCCAAATATAAATGCAGACTCCATCTGCTGAATAGAGCATTAGACATGCTCCACATGACATAATCCTTATTTTTTTTCTTTATTAGTGAAAGTTTTTATTGCACCTTTATTACTCATGTTAGTGGTCGAGTATTGTTTTTGTGTTCATCCTCCACATCTCAGTACACCGTTAATTAACTTTTTTTTTCACAAGATACTGTGACAAATCCACCTATCACAAACTTGGGGGGGGTGGGGGGGGAGGCTTGTGTCTTTTGTCAGTGCCATGTTCTTAACTGTGCTAGGAAATGCTCATGGTTAAATACTACCCCAATTTGTGTGCAATCTTGATGTATTAGAGATACTGTATACCAGCTGTGTTTACCTGTAAAACCAGTTAAAACCTTCTCTTGTTAAAACAATCTTGCACTTTATATTCATTAATTACATATATTATTTTGTTGAATGGAAAGAACTATATATCAATTGATGATGACCACACTGCAGGAGCCATCTCTGCATTAGTTTAGTACATCAAACTGATAAAAAACTCGGTATAAATAATTTACTTATTTTTTCTAAAATTTAATATTCCTTCAGAGAGGGATGAAAAGTGCAGCTTACAACTTCACTATGCATTTATTTGCACATAGAAGAATTACCTTGTCAATACCAATATTGTTTATGAAAAATAGTGCTGAAATTACTGCAGTTCCTATAGGATTATTTTTCTGTTCTTAAAATGCTTGCATTGCTCATGTTGCTGACTCCTCAGTACCCTTGAATCAAGGAATCAGTGAAGTTATTTTCACCTGTAGTAACAAGCAAATATTTGAAGTACTACAGAAGACAAGATCAGAGATATGTGCTTCATCTAGTGACTCTCTGGCAAGGGTGATGTCCTGTTTCCATAATTTGGACCAGGCTGCTGGTAAAGCTCTATTTGACTATTGCATGCACTTCCTTTAATTGGTTGTAATTAAGTAATTCCAAAACTATGGAAACAACAGATATCTCTCTCATCATTCTGCTCTAATCATGTGTTCATTTACTGGAAATTATAAAATACTGCTTACAGCAAAGCATTAGCTTTTGTCCTGCAGGTGTCATTTTGAGCTGCAATATATACCATCAGTCCATCTTTTTACTCTGTGGCTGTAGCTAAGCCAAGAAGGCTGAGACCTTTACTTCACTGGCCACCAGTGATTTAATGTGCATAGGTGCTGAGAAGAGTCTGTTTCTATTTCACTTTGGAACAGATACAGCCTTTTTTTTTTTTTTTTTTTTAACAGAGGGAAGTAGCTCCGGTTAGCTCCTGTTGTGCTTTGTTTCATTTGGCCCAGTAAAGATTTAAAGAGGTAGTTTTTTTAAAGAACTACATTATACATCTCAGATGCTTATCTGTGGAGGCTGCTTTCAAAATTCTTGTCAAGTACTGGAAAACCAGAAAATCCCTTGGTATATAGCTGCCTTGATACCTTTTAAAAAAGGCTTATAATGTGCATTTAAATAGCAATACAATTGTATTGCAATTTAAAACTATTTGTTAAATAGCAATATTCAGGATTTTTCAGTTTAAAGCAAAGCATTTCTTCAACAGCTGGAAATGTTTTCTAGCATATGGTGTATTTATGTGTATTGAGCTGTCTGGCATGCAATGTTGAATTTCTCTAAAGTCTTTAAAATTAAATGATAATGAACAAAATA